TATATATATGTGTATATATATAATAGTTTCTGCTGATACAGGGAATATTAAATGTCATTACACGTCTTTGACTACAAATTTAACCCATTCTTTTATTTTTAAAATTTGTATTTTGAACACATTCTCCAACAAAAAATAAAATAAAAATAAAAAAGTAAAATATATCTTGCTGTTATGTAATCATAACATAAATATTCAGTTACTGATATGATTGTTAAAATACATTTACTGACTATCTACATTATTGTGTTTGACCTCATTTTGAAACAACTCTCTGTTTTGTTTTCTGCTTGTATTTCTCTCCCAGGTGCTGTTAGGTGCTAAAGATGAGTAGTGGAGGGGGGGACACCCCGGAGCCCCCCAAAGGGGAGACTCTGAAGAGGAAAGACTGTCACTCAGACCTCCCAGGACCCAGGTGAAAAACRTCTGCCACCGTTTTGTCTCAGTTCRTCCCTGGAGCTTCAGGAAAGGCTTCCATGATGAAGTCAAATGAAACAGAGATTACTCAGAGAAGCATGAAAACAGTACAGAACCTTTAAATACTTCAACCAGGGAAACCAGTAGTCCCACTGAGGACTGACACAACCCCTGTAGGAGACCAGCACCAGGTCTGAGTGTCTTACTCTTAATGAGAAACTCAACATGAACACAGATCGGTTCCTTCTCTGATTAAAGACCAACTGTTCACCAAACAGAAAATCTTTGGACCGTTTTGGCTCGTTTCCAGATCAGTGAGTCGTTTTGTTCAAAGCTTTCTCCTGTCTCAGCTCTGACAGCACAAATACATCAGATCCAAGCAAAACAACCAAAAAATGGTCTATGYATTAAACAAGTTCAATTAATATTAGGAATTTATCTGTTTTTGCTCTCTTTGAGTATCTGTTTGAGCAGATTTTTGTTTAAAAAAAAGAAGAAGAAATTAATTCTGATTTTAAGTGAGCAAAATAGACGTTCCTAAAGTTGTGGTTGAGAGCCCACAGTGGGTCATGAAACACCAAGTGGGGTCCTTAGAAAACCTCTTGATAAAAATAATGATTATTTTCACTATATTTGTTTTTTTTAAGTATACAAATCTGTTGTCACACAATAATAAGTGGTAAATATGAACTCTTTGTGTTCTTATTACACCTTTTGTTAGCAAAGTTAGTTTAAATGAGGATGAATATATTATTTTGTAAATTGAAACTATTAAAATTTTATGAGTTGGTTGATTATAATATGTTGCAGATTATGTATAAGGCTCATAAAAATG